AATGTAATACTTTCTATAATAGTTTTAATTGTGAAAATCAAAACCAAAGTTTTGAACCCTACAAATAAATCTCTATATAAAGTAAGTCAGATGGAGATGAGAAAAAGCACAGATCCAGCACTGAAGATCATAAAATCTGTTAAGGAACAGCAAAGAGGGCTGGAGAGAAGGCTAGGTAGTTAAGAGCAATGGCTACTCTTCCTGAAGACCAGGGTTCAATTCCCAAGACCTATGTGACAAATGCCAGTCATCTGTAACTATAGTTCCAGGGAATATGACACCCTCTTCTGGCCTCCATGGACACCAGGAATGCAAGTGGTACACAGATACATAAGCAGGTAAAACACCCACAGACATAAAATAAAATATTTTTTTTAAAGAGAAAAGATGCTTGGAAATAACTACGATGACCCAAAAGAGAATAACAAAATTCATTTTTCCTGAGTGCTTACCATGGTAGGTATCACATTTCACACACAATACTTTAACTTTTACAACATGTATTAAGAAAGGACATTGCTTTACATATGTGGACAGTGTTACCCAGAGTGAAGGAGTAATTTAACCAGGAGGTAGAGGCTAAAAGTGGCACAAGACCATGCTCTCTCCTTTAAGCATGATGTAATATAACAAGCTGCATAGACAACCTTCTGTGGGAATCTGGGAAAGGAAGACAATCCCTTCACTAAAAGGAGAAGGAAAACATTTTGTTGAAGAAGCAGCATTACAATGTGATGGGTGATTATGTTTGGATGTGTGGACACGAGGTTTAAGAGGAAGCAGTCCCAAGGAAAGGAGAAAACTAAACATTTAGAAGAGAAAATGTAAATGGTTCAATTTGGTTTGGATGAAGCATAGAGTCCATGAAGCACATTAATAAAAACAAATGGAAGGTGAGACCATAGGCCCAAATCAGGGGACTCTGTCATACTCTAGACAGAGAACTCATCAAGACTCAAAGGTTTGGCATCAGGAAAGGGACACTACCAAAACCATGGTAGAAATTTTTTTTTTTTTCCGAGACAGGGTTTCTCTGTATAGCTTTGCGCCTTTCCTGGAACTCACTTGGTAGTCCAGGCTGGCCTCGAACTCACAGAGATCCGCCTGGCTCTGCCTCCCGAGTGCTGGGATTAAAGGCGTGCACCACCACCGCCCGGCATGGTAGAAATTTTTATCTGGTCAACATAGGTGAGAGATACCCATTGGTTTCTCTCAGTCTAACCTCCAGTGCTTCCATTCATCAGGGAAAAGCCGGACTTGCCTCCCTAGAGCACCAGTGTGAGGAATAGCAAGAGGGATGCTGGAGAGATGCAGGAGAAATCTAGAACCTGGCCAGGTATGCTGTCATCCCACCTGACAGCAGCAGTGCAATCTCAGTACAGGCTCACAGTCCTGACCTTGACATCAGGCAGGAGGAGGAAATGGAGAGAGACCTGGGACAAGGAGAGCAATGTAGAAAGGGAATGGGGATGGGAGTCAGCAAATGATTCAACAAGATCAGAGGAGCCAAGATCCGGACAGAAACCCACTATTCAAACCAAGGCCCAACACACTAGGACCGTGTCTGGGCATTTAAGAACCTTCACACTTCACTGACCAGTTTTCCAAAGAAGACATGCAAATTGGAAACAGGTCTATGAAAAAGTGTTCAGTATCATTAATAACCAGGCAAATGTGAATTATAATTATAATAAGAGTTCATGCTTCCACCTGTCAGGATGGACACAATAAAAAAGACAAGAGAGAAGTTTTGGTGAAGATATGGAGAAAAGGGAATTCTTACATTGTTGTTAAGGATGCAATGCAGAACATTTATTACATAAAACAGTGTATCAGTTCTTCAAAATCTAAAAATAGAATTACCATATGGTCCTGAACGTTAAAGATCTCTGCTCTTCTATGTTTATTATAGCAATGAAGATCTGAGGTCAGCCATAGTGTCCATTAATGAATGGATAGAAAGGAAATGGGGTATACACACATAATGGACTATTTAGTTAGCCACATAAATGAAATCCCACCATTTGCAGCAATATGAATGGACCCAGGGGACAATATGTTCAATGAAATAACTCACACACACAGAGAAATTTTTTATGATCACACATGTGTAGAATCCACTTGCAACAGAAAGCATGGAATATCAGCCTGAGTATCTAATGGATGAATGAAGAATGTGGTATGTATATATGATGGAGTATTATCTGCCTGAAAAAGGAGGCTATTTTCCCATTGTAACAACATGGTTGAATTTGTAGGATACTGTGCTAAGCAAAATGAACCATACAGAGAGGCAGATAGTGTATGATGATTTTCACTTGTTTTTAGAAGTTTTGAAAGCTGGACCTAATGGAAGCATAAAACAGGGAAGCAGAAATAGGGACAGGCTGGCAAAAGGCAGAATAGTGATCAAATGACAAGTTCTGAGGCTTTAATATTGCACAGTTTGGAGAGAGACAGATATGTTCATTGATTTAATTGTAGTAATTGAACAATGTTTAGGCATATGAACTCAAGTTTTATACCTTGCATGATATCAATAAAACATATTGATGTTTCATATTAATATATTGTTATATTCTAATGTAATAGATATGTATAATTTTTAAGTGAGAAATAAAACACAGAATAATCACAAAACGGAGACTGTATCTGTCTTTTTTTGGGGGGGTTCGAGACAGGGTTTCTCTGTAGTTTTGGAGCCTGTCCTGGACTAGCTCTGTAGACCAGGCTAGCCTCAAATTCACAGAGATCCACCTGCCTCTGCCTCCCGAGTGCTGGGATTACAGGCATGCGCCACCGCCCGGCTGTATCTGTCTTATTCACCACAATTTCACAGATATGGGTCCTATCTATTCTATACATAAGACCTTCTGAAGCAGATCAGAAATATTGGCATCAGCACCCAGACATGACTCAAGAATGAAGGAATACAGATCAATGGCTAATCACATCAACTTCCTGTCCTTCCATGTGAGTGTTCTGGGGAATCATCTGCAATCATCCCTCTATGAGATATTCAACAGGACATGGCTTCAGTCACCCATAGAAGTCATCAGTTCACAAACACATCCATTTCCTGCTCTTTCACCATCCCAGTGTCTTATTCTATGCCGTCATGATATATCCTAGATCATTTCTCAAATGTTTATGTTCATAAATTATCTTAAGAACTACCTTTTGATGCCAGGAAAGGTAGCCTAGACTAAGACAGAGGTTCTATTAAGAGTTAAAGTATTATTCTCTCTCCAAGCCATAGCTCATTTGATTATGCTGTGTTACTTTCCTTACTGGAAAGAATTGAGTGATATAGGGCTTCCAGATTTAGATAGTCTTGATTTCTACTCCAGTCACACTACTGTGTCATCCAGGTAAGTAACACCAACACACATGTGTGTATGTGTGAACAGACACACCCAGGCACACATGTACTTTTCAGGACTTGTCAGCACTGTGTGAAACAAAGTATGAAAAGCAGTAAACCACATTTACTTTGTATCCTTCCCAACATAGCATAGCAAGGTCAAATTCTAAGAAGCCAAAATTCTCCTCTGTAGGCGGAATGTTTCTCTCCGCCTGCCTGTTCCCAAATAATAGATTTGGAGGCTTCATATCACTTATAAATCCTTGGCCAGTAGCTCAGGCTTATTACTAACTATCTCTTATGCTTAAATTAACTCATAATTCCTATCTATGTTTAGCCACGTGGCTTGGTACCTTTTCTCAGTACAGCATTCTCATCTTGACTTCTGCATCTGGCTGGTGACGCTTAACTCCGCCCTTCCTCTTCCCAGCATTCTTAGTCTGATCACCCCACCTAACACGTCCTGCCTGGCTACTGGCCAATCAGCATTTTATTAAATCAATTTGAGCAACAACCCTTTGTACAAGAGACTTATTCCACAGTACTCCTCTATAAATTCATTCTGTTAACTTGAACTCACTTAGACTATAAGAGGGAAATCTATAAACAATGAGGATGTTCTCAGTATCAGTATGAATCAAAAGTCTAACTTTCTCTCACAGGTTAGTGTGAAAAGGAGTGCTGGGCTTAAATAAATGAGGTTTTCTGTTTGTATTATTACACAACCATATAGATGGATCTCAAAACAACTATAAATAATGATCATAACATGTTGAATGAAGAGCAACATATAATAAATACGCTACTGAGGTTGAATACAAAGCTATCACAAAATGGCCTATCAGTTAACAATCTGGGACAGAAGTGGCATTCAGCCCATCATGGTGGAAAAGGACTAACAGGAGCACAAATCAGTAATTGCATTGTTCATGTGGAATGCAGTGTTTAAGGTAGAGCATCCTTAAGTCCAACTCCTCTCAGTGGCCATTCGCATCCTCCAGACTGACGCAGTACTGAGTCTTTTGAGTTTGAATTGGCCATACTATTTGTGAAGACTTGCTTCATCCTTATCATTCTATCTTTATACACATTCCTCCACCTCTTAAAAATGGTCCATTTTCTTCAGTGTGATTTAGAGTTCAAAGTATTGTCTGTCAGCTGCATTTGCACTTATTTATAAATCATGTCTGTAGTCGTTGGTTTGTGTTGAAAATCGAGAACAAAGCCGTTATCCATCTACACTGAATCAGAAACAGTTAGCTGGGTCACAGTGTAAATAATGAGCCTGGATCCACAGCTGCATTGGTACGCAATTAATCAGCATCTAACGCACGCCAGCCCATGCCCCTGTGAACCCAGTTACTCTGCTTCGGAAGTCCTGGGGCACTTGTTTGGGTCAGTGAAGAGTTTTACTCAGGGAATATTGTTAACATGCCATCTGGTCCAACATGTGAAATGGCTCCCTCAATCCTGAAGGGGCCCCAAGTGTCACTCTAGGGCAACAGTTGTCCTACTAGGCAGGGGCCTGATTATCAGCTGGCAGCTTTCTTCAATTCTTTGAGAAGGATTGAAGAAAAATTTCCCCACTAGGAAAATCTTAAATTGGAGTTAGTTGGTCAGAAAAGAGATCACTTACCTGGGGACCAGGCTGACCCTGAAATTGAAAAGAAAAAAAAAACAAGTATAAAATTGATGTTTACAATGAATATTTTCAATATATATCCCAGTATATTGAGATTTAAAATAGTTCTAACCTAATACCAATAACTTCATATTGGATCTTAATATCTTGATCCTGTGAATTAAAAGGACTGGGCTTATGGCTATTGCACACTTGAGTGATTCAGCATGCTCCAGCATTTAACTGGGGAAAGGAGTGTCAGGAAGAATAACCCCCCTCCTATCACAGTAATGTGTGAATGGGCAACTGAGAGGACGAATCGTCCAGCACACATAATTACTGACCTACATATTCTAACAGGGCAGAGCTACATTTATAAAAAACAGTCCTTGGCTTTCTCACTGTTCCAATGTTTTGAGATTTTCATTTTGTTTTTAATAAACAGCTTCCTTTTACTTTGTATAATCAAATCTAATGACATTTTAAAATAAGTTTTGTAAGGGGGGGACCCTTGTTGGATTAAAATACACCCCTATTCCTCCAACAGTCAATAGATTATGTGACCTCTGGCAAGCTAATTTGTTTCGAAAGACACTTTCTTGCTTAAGTTGATGAAAACCTCCAAGCAGTAAAAGTGTAAATGCTTCCAGAGAAAATCAACTGCAAATAAAAGCACTGATGACATATTGTACCCGTAAAATCTCCAACTGAGTTTTCAGTCAAATGAGACTAAAGGAACAGTTCCCATCAAGTTACAGAGTCTTCTAAACTAACTAAATTGACTTCTGGGGTTAGATGGCAGAGAAGAAGCTGCCTCCACATAAAGTAGTAAAAAAGAAGAGAATGAACTGAACCCTACCCCAAAGAGAGAAAGAACTTCAGAAATCACAGAGTGGGGATGGAGCAGCTGGCCGAGAAGAGAGAAGCACGAGGGCCATCTGGGACTAAGGTCAGAGCATGCGGCACCTGGCTCACAGCTCTCCCGCATCCCCTGAAAAGGCACCCAGGCTAGCTCTGGCGAAGACACTGGAAGTCTAACCCACAGTTCTCAAAAGTCTTGAATGAAGTGGGAGGGATCTGTTGAGATAGTGGCTTCAGGTATGGATCAGTCTATGTCTGAGAAGGTTGTGGTCTAGTGCCATCTTGAGAGGAGATCTTCTATTAAAGACAGCTTCCCTGGGAACCTGAGAAGTCAAGGATTCTAGAGTTAACCTGCCAGAGCCTCTAGGTAGAAGTGGGGGGCAAGTGGCAGCAATGGATTAGGGGAGGGCTAGGCACAAACACATTGAGAGGCTCAGAAAGCAGGAGGCTCATGGGTGAAGGATTCTGGAGTTGGTGGCCCTGCCTTTTGTGATGGCAATGCCTTCTTTGGCAATGAGCTAAATAACTGTGTTAGCCTAAGACTCAGAATGCACGGATGCCCTTACAACCTTCTCCCTCCCGCAGGGTGTGTTTAGTACTGAGCAGGACCGGAAAGCTGTAGCAAAGCAACACAGCAACAGTACTCAGTACTCAGTGCTCTACCTGCTTCCACTCCCACCACAGCACACTTGGGAAACACCTCTTGGCTGAGACCTCAGCCACGCAGATGGACGCACTGTGCAGTCTCTGGAGTGAGTGGCAGCTGTACAGCTAAGGGTGCTTAGTGGTGCTCCTGGTCTGTAAGACAGAAGCTGTGGTGGTGAGCAGGTGACTTCAGACCACTGCAGGTGCAGCACCAGTGTGAGCAGGATCAAAGAGACAGACGAGTCTCCAGCTTCAACCAACCACCCTTCTATCTGGCAGGGCTGCAGGAAGATGCTGCTCCATTATGTTGGTTTTATACTTCGGTGGGGTTTTTTGTAATCGTTTATTCTTTATTTTCCTTTTATATCTGTTTCTTATAGTATCACTATTACTTTTTAATTTTATAAGCAGAACGTAGGTTTCAATTCTTATGTTCAGTTAGATCTGTGGCTCGACAGGTCATAGGTCCCGGGGACAACCTTCTACTCTTGTGCTAAAAGGACATACTATTAAACTGACTCCCAATTACTGACGTCATACCCATAGATTAATGCATCTCTCAACCCTAATCAAAGACGCTTCTATTTGAAGTAAATGGTGATTAATCAATTAATACAGAGACCCACAACTAGCCAAGGTGAAGAAAATAAGAAACTTAATCATGCTCAGTCCTCAACGGAACATCTAGATTACATCTTCTCTTCTCAAGGTTCAGGGATCTTTGTGAAGACCAATCAGAAAGACTGTATGAACCAGTGGTGGTCAATGAATACAAGGAAATAATGTACTCTGGGCACAACAAGGCAACTGTACACATGAACTCACAGTAGTTATGACAGCATGTACAACACAGTTCAAGGTCAAGCCATACAAAATGCAAGCATGGAGAGAGAAGGAAGACCTCAAGTCTCAGTCCTATCCAAGGACGGACTGGCAAGTGATAGCTTCTGGGGAAAAAAGAGTCAGTTTTCTTTAAGAGTGTTGCTGCTGAGAAACTGACCACACTTGGGTGGAAGGCCACACATCCACAAATAGATGGGGAAGACAATTTGTATTTGCTGGGAGCAGGGAAAGAGAAAGAACAAGAAATTGTAATGGTGGAGGGGCAGAAGTGATCTGGAAGGAGCTGGGGGGCATTGTGAATAGGGTCAAAACCCAGTCTACAAAATTCTCAGAGAACTAATAACGACAACATTTAAAGTATCATGGAGAAACATTCTATTTCATATAGAACATACCTTGATTTAAATATCTAATTTTTTATTTTCAAATAACTTCTCTGTGATATGAAAATAGGTCTAGGTAAGTCTATTGGCTCTGATCCATTTTAATCTTTTCTTATTATTTAAATGATTTGTGCTTTGACAAATTCCCACATGTACATGAGGCATCCTGAGCCCCCACCACTCCCATCTCCTTACCATTCCTCTTTCTCCACCCCCCCGCCCCTGCAAATCTTCTCCTTGAGTTCCTTGAATTGGTAAACAGAGAAACTAAAACTCAGAGAGGAGACCTGGACGTCACACACACCTACAGGCTGAAAAGTCAGAATTTACCCCCAAACTAACTGCAAAGCCCAAGCATTTCCTCCAGCCCTTCTGCCCTTGTCTCTACAGAGTTTTTAAAGATTATTGGTTTTTATTTTATGCGAATGGCTGTTTACCTGAATGAATGAGTGGGTACCACGTGGGCACATTGTCTCTAAGGGGACAAGAGGAGGGAGTCAGATCCCCTGGAACTGGCCACAGATGGTTGTGATGCACCACGTGTGTGTTGAGAACCTAACCTGGGTTCCCTGGAATAGCAACAGTTGCTCTTATCTGCTGAGCCATCTCTCCAGCCTCTCCCTCTGGATATCTAGGCTCACGGATGTTTGCCAAGTCCCTGGCATTGACTCTGGTTAATTCTCTTTGAGTGAGGAAGACTCTCGACATGCTGACTGTTCGTGGGCAGCTCCTCAAACACCTCAGTGCCAAGTGCTTTTCCCAGAGACCAACCACCAAAGAAACTCTTTAGAATTTCCTTATTGCTTCTGATGGGTTCACCGAGAGACAGGTAATTTTTACTTAGTGGTGGATAGTTTTCTGGTCTATTGTGTTGAAGGTTTCTAATAACTAACTGTAAAAGCCAGACTTTTTATTCCGGTTTCTAAAATACACTCCAAATGCGTACTTACAAATTATGGCTAACATTCACAAAAACCAACAAGTTGATTTTTCTAAAATGAAATTACTGAAAAAGACTCTTTCTGCCCATGCAAATCATCGAAATGTTTCTACAAATCAAAGTCTGAATCAAGAAAAACCAAGAGCCATGCCAAGCGAAACAGTTAAATCACAGAACTCCTGAAGTCAGGACCCTGCATACAGAAGCAGAGAATGCCCAGGCGCTGAGCTGGCTGATTTACTGTCTGGCAGTAGGAAGGGCAATGCTCCTGCCTCTGGCCCCAGCAGGAGGGGAGAAAGGGAGCCTACAGGAGGAGCAGACTCTCCAGAGCTAATCAGAACAGTGTGGTAGAAAGCAATCAGCCAGTAGCTGATGCTTGATGGAGAGTGTTCCAAGGAAGCTGAGCATTTTGGGAGACGGTGAAGCACAATGAACATGATAAATGAGCCGACCCATCACTGGAGTATGCATTGTTACTCGAGGCAATTAAAGAGCAATATCGGACATTTTTTGTCGGGCTGTTATCACAATTATGGTTGGCAGAAAGTGCTAACGCTCTTTTCAAATTGACAAAGCCATTTGGATTTCTGGCTGAGGTAATTAGTTTCACTACATGATACTTTCTTTTTTAATAGATAGGAACTCTGTCACTCTTTCAAATGGGACAAAAGCTGTTTTTTTTTTTTTCCATTTAATACATGTACAGACAGGGATACAAAAGTCTGTTTAAAACATGGCTTTATTTTAGATATTGATTAGAGTCACAGACTCACAAGTATCTTTGGTCAATATGAAATAAAAGCCTTCCAGCTACAAAAGTGTAAGGGGATATTAGTACTATGCACCTTTTAAGCTTTCAATGCACACACTGGACAGAGGGCTTACGTTATCTTTTCAGATGAAAATGCAGCATCTACAGAGGAAGTTCGGCTAAAGCTGCTGAGCCACAGAGCTCTAAATGGTGGCAGGGCTGTTCCTACGGGCCAATGGGATCCTGTCAAGGAGCCTGTAGCTTTCCAGAGTTGCCAGCCTAGAGTATGTGCCAGGCATGTGAACAAGCAGGAGTCTTCAACACCTTCCATGCAGAGAGACAGATCACATTTCATTCTCCACTGTATCAGGACCTCACCCTAAGGTGCTTTCAAAATGACTGCTGAATGTGTACAAGTTGCAACTATTCAGACTGGCCCAAAGCGGTTGACAGTGATACTTTAAAATACACATTTAAAGGGCTGCTGTTGTACTTTAAATGCTGTATTTTCAAGTGCAGCGTCTCGATCTCATGTTCTGGAAAGGCCCTTTGCGTTTCCCTTCACTGCAGAATAAATGCATCTGCCCTGCAGTGGGATCTTCCCCGGGAA